GTCACCTCCGGGGCAGGCGGGAATTGAACTCATGCGGAAGCGGCTTTAGATTCTCAGTGCTGTGCTTTAACCCGCTGCGCCACCAGGGAGGGCCACATTAACTTTTTTTTAAGAAGTATGTATTTATTTATGCCTGCAAGAACTGTGGTTTAGGCTAGAGGTTTGGGGGATTGAGAGGATTCCCCAGAGACAGAGTGGGGAGCAGAACAGGCAAGATCTACTGAAATCCACTGCTGAGGGAGCATCGGGCGAGACAGGAGAGGTCTGCGCCCTGTGGGTCACCTTCGGGGCGGGAATCGAACTCACATTGAAGCGGCAGTGGCCAGCCTGCAGCGCTGTGTCCCAACGCGTCGCGCCACCGGGGAGGGCCCTTTCTATCAATTTTCTTACTTTGCTTTCATACAGTTTTCCTCTTCATATACATCCTTCCTCCTGAGGTATCGAACTCAGGTCACAGTGATGATAGCCTTTAGGCCATCAGGGAGGCCCCCAACATATTTTTTAACTGAGGAAACGTTGCTTTACAATAACAATGTCAAGTTTTAGGAGTATAAACAGCTTAACACAGGGTGTACCGGCCTGTGCCTCCATCAAAATTCTAGTTACATTTACGACCATTTTTGATCCACTCCCTCACCCCCCACTATTGTGTCTTCAGGAGTGTAACGGTTATTGTTTTATTCATTCATTTGTGTTTTTTCTTTATATTCTACTTGAATGAAAGCAAGGTGTTTCTCACCATAATTTGAGAATCATGGTATTTTGCTTTAAAATTTCTTCAAAAATAGAAGAAATTCTGAGGACTAGTTGGCACTTATTAAATATTTGCGAAGAAGTTTATTCACTGATCAGAGTATAGGGATTATTAAACTTTGTTTAGCTCAAACATGCTACCATCAGAGACCATCCCTCCTGCAGTGCGGGTGTTTTGGTACACACTGAGGGAAGTATCGGTAAGTTGTGCAGTCAAGTGGAGGAGAATTGGACTTTTTATCAGGGCAGGAGATGTTTGTTGTTATTATTTATTAGTTTTGCTGTTACTGGCATGCGGGTGTTTTGGCAGGGCAGGGCTCCCCATCCGCTTAGTCCCTGCAGCCCGCCGGCGCACCCGTAGTCCACCATAGTCCATGTGTTCCACCCTCGGCCTGTTTTTAGCCCTTTCCCTCCCCTCCCTCTCTGAAAGTTGAAGCTCAGGGTTCAGTTTTCAAGGATTGGTTTTAAAGTGTGTCTTTTCCGTCACTGCCCGGATAGGAATTTTGATTATGCTACTTAACAATTTTGTATCCTGGACCAGCACATACCGTATTTAAAAATGGGATTATCACGCAAACGTCATTGAGATTGAATGAAGTAATTGCATAATAGATGCACCCAGCTTCGTTTTTTCTAAAATCCGTCCCATGTGTGATAATTTTGGGGTCATTTACTTCTAAATTTATTATTTCAACCTGAGTGCATAGTTGTCATGTTGTATAGAAAATGATCTCAAGGCCCTCCCTGGTGGCGCAGTGGGTAAAAGCGCAGCACCGCAAGCCAGCTGCAGCCTTCTTCAGTGCCCGTTTGGCCCTGCCCAGAGCTGACCCACGGCTGGCAGAGCTCTCGTCTCCCCACTGCTCCCTGCAGCATTCTGCCTGTGCTGCTCCCCACTTTGTCTCTGCTCCCCACTCTGTCTCTGATGAATTCTCTCACTGCCCCTGTACCTCTGACCTGTACCCCAATTCTGTACGTGTAAATAAATCTTTAAAAAAAATAAAGAGGCTTCATAGGTAACATGCTTTAAAAAAGAAAAAGAAGGCCCTCCCTGGTGGCGCAGCGGGTTAAAGCACAGCACTGAGACGCTAAAGCCGCTTCCGCATGAGTTCGATCCCCGCCTGCCCCGGAGGTGACCACAGGGCGCGGCAGACCTCTCCTGACCCGCCCGCTGCTCCCCTCAGCAGTGGACTTCGTCGATCTGCCGGTTCTGCTCCCCACTCTGTCTCGGGTAAAGCCTCTCACGGCTCCCTGCACCTCTGGCCTGTACCTCAGGTCTGTATGCACAAATAAATCTTAAAAAAAGAAAAAGAAAATGTTCTCAATTGTACACACCATGAGGAGGAAGCCTCGTGTCTGGGTCGAGCGTTACATAATTCTGTCTCCTCTACTTCAGGATCTTAGCACCAAAATCATGCAGCTGGTCAGCGTTGCTCCAGTGGGCCTGCAGCACGACTTGATCACCAGTCTGCCTGAGGTCCTGGCGGACGCCCAGCATGCTGACGTGGGCCAGCAGCTCAGGTGGGTGAGCGCTTGCCGCCTGCCGTGAGTAGGACCCCACTCCGGAGGCGCAGGGAGGACAGCAGCAGCCACTCCTTTCACATAAAGCCTTCCACGAGCAGGGCTTTCCGTTCCCCCTACGGCAAGTGTAGATTTGAGTAGACCCGTTTACTTTGTTACAGATTGTGTGCGTGTTTAAAAAAAACACCGTCTGGGCCTCCCTGGCGGCGCTGCCGTGGCGCTGCAGCGCGAGCTCCATGCCCGGCCAGGCCGTGTCTGCAGTGCGTTTCCCTGGCGCCGCCAGAGCCGCCTCCAGGAGTGTGCAGTGATTTCCTGCCCCTGTGCTTTGGGCACGATCCCACCCACTCCCCGGGCTAATTCTAGCTTGTCCTGACACACAGCCTTCCCTTCGGGTCCGTCACTGTGCTGCTCTGCGCTGTGGCGTCCCACACGCACAGCTGCCACATGTCACCGCTGGAGATTGCACTTTGCTTGTCCCTGGGAAGACGTACCAGGCTCAGAACTGGTCCCCTTTGGGCGGTGGCGACGCTGAAGAGGGCGTCTTCATACTGCCTGCTGTTTGGCTTGTGTAATGAATGTGTGGGGTTTTTCTTTTTTAAGTTTTATTTTTATTATTTATGCACACAAGAACTGGGGTGTAGGCCAGAGGTGTGGCAGGGGTGAGAGGATTCACCTGTGACAGAGTGGGGAGCAGAACAGGCAGATCGGCTGAAATTCACAGCTGAGGGGAGCAGCGGGCAGGACAGGAGATGTCTGCTGTGCCATGTGGGCCAGCTCCCTGGCTGGGAATCGAACTCATGCTACAGTGTCTAGTGATAGCTTGAGAACACTGAGACTTTCACCCCTATTCCACTAGGGAGGCCCCGTGAACTTTTTTAATCAAAATCATAGTATGTTTGCAGTGAGACTTTTACGGTAAGCAAACTTATGGGAGCTAAGTTTAGCGTCACGCCCCACTCTGAGGAGTGATTTTTCCAAGCCATCTGTTAAAGGCCACACAACTTCTCTTTATTCATCCTTTGCAGTGACCTTCTCACAGAGAATACTCTCCTCACTGTGCCTATCTTGGACGTCCTCTCCAGCCTCCAGCTTGACCCCTGTCTCCTGAAGAAGGTAGGAGTGCTGCGCTCCTGGAGCAGCTGGCTCCCCTCCCGCTCCCAGACTAGTGCTGCAGCCATGCGGTGCAGTCGCACATGATGAAGATCTCATTTGAAAACACGATTGGATGCCACTCGCTCCCTCTTCCCTTTCCAGTGGTTTTGTGTCGCGCGTTATACTGTACTTGGTTTGTTGGCCTGTTGGAAGCAATACCGTCTAGTGGGATTCTTTATGTTGCCGAGGGATTGAGAGCCTGTCCCCACCGGAGAAACAAATGCATGTGCCTTCCTCTAGCCAGGGCAAACTTCAGGCACCAAGTGTGTAGTAATATGTTCACACTTGTCACCTGTTCATGATGCAGTGGTTTAGCGCTTGAAAGCTTGTTTTAAGGAGCAAAAAGGCCGGTCATTTGGGGAAAAATATAAAGATATCTTTTCCTTCCTAAATTGTAAGTGGAGACGTTGAGTGAGAGAAGTACCGTCACAGGGTAGCCCAGGGTGGACTTGGGCTGCCTGTCTGTGGGGCCTCACCCCTGCGCTCAAAATGTCATTTTCTGTAGGCACACACAGAAAGGGTCATGGGTTTATTTACAGAAAGGGGAAAGGAAAAGGAAGCAGCCAGGGAGAGAGAGAGAGGGACAGGGTAGCTGGGATACTTTACCAGCGGCTAACTTGGAGCGCCAGTCCTTAACTAATGCTGCCAGCCCCAGTCACACGGTCTCAGCAGTTGGTCCAGAGAGGGAGAACTGTTACCTCTCCAGAGTGACAGCTGGAAAACTGGTCTCTATTTATCCCCCAAAGTCCCAGGAAGCTGCTCAGCTCCGCCCTTGGGTCCTCGCAGTTCTCTCCCGGGCACTGCAGGAAGTTGTAGTTTCCAATCCCTGGAGCAGGGGTGGAGTCCAGAAAGCTGGAGTAGGGGGTGGGGCCCACAGGATGTCTTTTAGGACAACCTTCCCCTTAACAGTACTTTTTCTAATTTCGCGTAAGTAAGAGGTTGAGGAAAACCATGGTAATGTTTTCATCTTAGATCCGCAAATTGGTGATGGGTAAGCTGTCATCTGTCCGGTTGGATGATTTACCTGTGATCATGAAGTTCATTCTTCACTCCATAACGGCCCCGGATGCACTTGAGGTAGCTCTTACTTCCCCACAAACTCTGATGGGACGTTGGTGCAGATGCCCAGAGACTGGACACCCTGCCCTCGTAGATTCAGCAATCGGAAAGACTAAGCTGGGTGAGGGGACAGGAGATTACAGCATTGAGCTTAACAGGCTCTGACTGCTGTTGTCTGTCTCCAGACTAACGGACGGCACTTGGTTCATACAGACGGAGTTCAAGGGAGCCAGGGGGCAGCATTCACGGTATCCCTGTTTCAGCCGCTCCAGGCTGTTTGCTGTTTCGGCATAGCACCTCAGATTCTGGAGTTTGGAAGGGCACGACGTACTGTTCTTGTGTTTGCGTTTTTATTCATTTTTACTCTTAAAATGCCTCATCTATGATAGAATCATTCTTCAGCCTAACAGAAAAGTTTCTATTTCTTTTGTTGACACGGGCTCTGCGCACCTGCTGTCAAAGAGCTGAATAGGTGCTCACACATGTTTGCTCCAGGTGATAACTGAGCTTCGGGAAAGGCTGGACCTGCAGCATTTTGTTCTGCCGTCGTGGTTATACACGCCCCAAAGCAAGCTGAAAAATAAAGGCAGAGCAAGGTATACTGTGACAGATTCCACCCTTCTTCTCACGTAGACAGGGAAATTTTCTGAAATTTATCCTGAAGCCAGGGCAGCAGATTTTAAATACAACCACGAACAATGTCATTGTGGCATAGTCGTGGAACACGGTGCACTTTTACTTTGCCACGGTTTTTTGAATGGGCGTGGGGTGGGCTGTTGCGGTGAATGGTTTTTGAAATTTGTATTGAAGTAACCTTGGTATTCGGCATATCGACTAGAAGGTTTTTCATGTCTCTGTGCACTGGCTGTTCCATAGACTACAGTGTGCTTCATTAGCCATAATTCACGCAGCTGCCGCCTGGCACTGGGGAGGGAGTAGGCAGCCAGACGCCGCGGCTCCTCTGTGCTGAGTGGCAGCCTCCTTTCTCTGCAGTTCTTCAGGAAGTCAAGAGAACTGCGCTGAGAACTGTATTTTCCTCCTCTTCGATGTGCTAAAGTCTGCTGTTAGATACGAGAAAATCATTTCCGAAGCCTGGGTGAAGGTAAGTGAGATCTTTGGAACTAGAATGTCAAGGAGAAAATGGGCAGCCATTGTTGGCACACTGTTCCCTAAGTGAGGCGGAAGTAAGAACCTTGAAGGTCAGTCAGGTGGGTGCTCGGTGAGGATGCTCGCTGAGCTTGCCCGAGTCAGCGTCTGAACGTTGCTGAGGAGGAGGAAAGTGTTAAACCTGTGTTGTAATGCTTTTGTGACCCTTGTCTTTCCAGGCGATTAAAAACATTTCTCCTGAGACTGACCACAAGGTAACTTTCGTCCGCCGACATTTGTGGTATTGACTGGTTGTCCTTCCCGCTTTCTTTTCTTCCCTCCAGTAATCCCTCTGGGCCATCTTTCACTGGTCTTAGAAGCCTTAGCTGTCTGGGAAAGAGCTGAAAGGGTGACTTGTCCTACTCATTCATTCTAGTGGTAAAGTAAGACTGAAATGTCCATAAGGAAATCACTAGCCACCAGACCAGCACAGTTAAGTCGGCTGCAGTCAGGGGCGCCGGCCCAGTGAGGAGCAGGCACCTGGACCCCGCAGGGCTCCCGCATCGGAGCGTCTCCCTCCCTGGCCGCATTGCTGAGATGGAGGCATCCGTGGTGGTCTTAACCTTGCCAGTGCCTGCCTGAGCAGAGTCCACTCTGAAGGCGATTCCTCTTAATTCTGGAAATACATGGTTCTGTCAGGCGGATTGAGTATCTTCTATACTGATGGGGTTCCCTTTAAGGATGTTTCTTTAGTCGGAATCTGTTTTATGAGATTTGTCTTATAAAGCATCCAGTTGTGGGCCTCCCTGGTGGGCTAGGTGTTAAGTCTCAGCACTATCACCTCTGCAGTCTGAGTTCCGTCCCCGACCAGGGAGCTGACCCTCACATGGCCGGCAGATCTCTCCTCCCTCGTCCGCTGCTCCTCTCAGCAGTGCAGTTCAGTGGATCCCCAACCATGTTTCTGGTGAATCTGCTCCCTGCCTTCCCCTCCCCCCACACCTCTGGACTACCCTCCAATTCTGCACGCGTGCGCACACACACAAAGTATTGAGGCACAGGGGCAGAGGGGGTGAGAGGACTCACCAAAGACGGGAGCAGAACAGGCAGATCTACTGAAACACACTGCGGAGGGGAGCAGTGGGCGAGACGAGGCCAGGAATGGAACTCGTGCTGCAGTGGCTGCAGACAGCTTCATGATGCTGGGCTTAGCCTGTTGTGCTCCAGAGCGGGCCCAAAATAGGTGTGGATTTTGTGAAAATGAACCTACTCCCCTGGGAAAATGTTTAGCACATAAACATATCCATTCTGTGTTTTAGTAGAAAAAAGTTGAGAGCTATTGTTTCATTTTTATAAACGTACTGAAGTATTAAACTGTTTTCCCATTTGTTGTATACTTGACTGTAGACTTTCGACCTGGCGATGATTCTCATCATCTATAGCACCAACACACAGACAAAGAAGTTTACTGAGACGGTGCTCAAAAGTAAGATTCGATCAGGCTGCTTTGAAGAACAGCTGCTAGAGGGCACATTTTGTATTCATTACATGGTAAGTGTCAAGAGAACCAGACGTTTTAGTCTGAAGGGTGTAATATGATTTTCCCAGTGTGGGAATCTTGAGCACACCACCTTTCTAACAGACAGTTCGCAATATTTCAAAACATAGTAGGATTATTGCTTACTAGATTGAAACATGATGTTAATAAAACCAACCTAAGATTGATGTTTATCTTTTTAACAAAGCGTCATAATACTGGTTTATTTGAACTTCCTTGATTTAGGCCCCAAATATGTGTTGATAGGCTTCTAAATTTCTGTCTTCCTATCATATACTGCTATAACTTGATGTCTTTTTTTTTTTAAGATTTTATTTATGCATACAGAAATGGGGTACAGGCCAGAGGTGTAGGGGTGGTGAAAGGATTCACTGGAAACAGAGTGGGGAGCAGAACAGGCCAATTGACAAAGTCCACTGCTGAGGGGAGCAGCAGGCGTGTCGGGCGAGGTCTGCCGCACCGTGTGGGTCACTTCTGGGGTGGGGATCGAACTCAGCACTGAAGCGGCCTTGCTTGGCTTAGCTTCACAGAGCAGCGCCAACCTGCTGCGCCAGTAGGGAGGGCTCTATAACTTGACTTCTAAGGTAAAATTGTAGTCTTATATGTCTCATAAAATGTCATCTTTTAACCCATTACTTAAGCCATTCAGATTTTTGTATCTTAATTTTGCTTAGTTGTTTTAATTGTCTAGCTCAATTGTCTAGTTCATTTGTCTCACAAATTGGCCTCTATATTCTGTTCAGCATAGTTTTTATAGACCCTGAGCAAAACAGGTTAGAGAAATTCTCTTAGAGACATTTATGTATCTGTTGAAACATAACGATCTGGCAACTCAACATTGTAACCAGGCAATCATTTCTATTGGAATGTCAGCCATTTGAATTAGAATTTTGTTATCTGGAAATGGTGTTTTGGCAGGTGAATATTGAAATGTATACCTGGAAGCCTAAGGGCAGACCACTGGTTTGGTACATGACTTAAGAACTGATGAGAATAGGGCCCCCTGTAGCATGAGGGTTACGTCTCTGTACAGTGAAGCTGTCCGCAGCCACTGCAGCATGAATTTGATCCCCATCAGGGAGTGACCCACATGGCCCAGCAGACCTCGCCTGTCTCCCACTGCTCCCCTCAGCAGTGAGTTTCAGTGGATCCATCTGTTCTGCTCCCTACTCTTTCTCTGGTGAACCCTCTCGCCCCACACTTCTGGCCTACACCCCATTTCTTGTATACATAAGTTTTAAAAAAGAAAACTCAGAATTATTCTGTGTCAAACTGAAATTAATGTCCCTTCAAATCAGAGTTGGGGAGAACTCTGACATCCCCAAAAGGGTTAGCAACTCTTAGGCATTGTAGCAACTAAATTTCTTTTCTCGCTCCTCTTCACACCTCCACTCCAGGTTCTTAAGGATGTGTGTCCATCCATTCTGTGCTTGGCTCAGAGCTTGTTGGACTCCCTAGACGGCAGCCTCATCTCGTTTGGCAGTCTCCTCTACAAACACGCATTTAAGTTTTTTGATGCTTACTGCCAGCAGGTATGTTGCAATATTTATTTTGGAAAGGGGAGGATAGGGAACGGGGAAGAATTACTAGTCCAGATAGCTTGCATGTGATCTGGTGTTTATTTTTCGTCAATTTCGGAAGGCATTTGAGAATCAGAACCCTGAACTGGGATTTAGGAGAGTTTAATTGTATCCCAAGACTCGGTAAAATGTGGGCCCTGAACTGGCAGAGCCAACTCTACTTTTGAGCCTTAAAATTCTCTTGAGTTTAAAGTTACACCCACGTCCAGTCCATTGGCTGAAGGGTTGCAGTGGCAGGTGAGCGTCATGCTATGGGGTGGCATTTGTTTTTTTAAGATTTATTTCTTTATGCTTAAAGAACTGGGGTACAGGCCAGAGGTCAGGGGCGGCGAGAGGCTTCACCAGAGACAGAGCAGGGAGCAGAACAGGCAGATCTATGAAGTCCACTTCTGAGGGGAGCAGCGGGCAGGTCAGGAGAGGTCTGCCGTGCCATGTGGGTCACCTCTGGTGCTGGGGATCGAACTCGCATTGAAGTGGCTGTGTGTGTGGCTTGCAGTGCTGTGCTTTAACCTGCTGTGCCACGAAGGAGAGCCGGGATTGGCATTTTGAACATTTAGCTGCAAATCTTCAGCTGGCAAGTGATTATGGAGTTTTCTCTAGAAAAAAGTATAGTCCAAAAAAAAAAAACCAGAAAAGGACGCCCTCCCTGGTTGCTCAGGGTTTAAAGCGCAGCACTATGAAGCCATCCACAGCCACTGCCACAGGAGTGTGGTCCCCAGCCAGGGAGGGACCCACAGGGCGCAGCAGACCTCTCCTGTCTCCCCGCTGCTCCTCTTAGCAGTGGATTTCAGTTCATCTACCTGTTCTGTCTCCTGTAAATCCTCTCACCCTTGCACCTATGGCTTGTACCCCAGTTCTTGTATGTATGAATAAATTTTTTTCCCCCCAAAAAAAGAAAAAGTAGAAATACTGGAGTACCTGGGCTGTTCCCAGGAACATCAGACACAAAATACAATGAGCTCAGAGAAGGAAGGCTGTTGTGAAGGTTACTGAGAGCAAGTGAGCAGCAGCTTCTTATTTTGGATTTGCTAAGTGTCTTTACCTATTATTACCAAGGTGAAAACACACTTGGATGTTGGGAGTGAAGACTAATTTAAAAGATCTCAAGCAGTGGCACGGGCTGGCCTGGCCTGAGCTGCGCAGTTGAGAAAAGCACGCGGCTTGGGCTGGAGCCGCAGCGTGACGGCCAGGGAGCTCTGCGGCTGAGCCTCGGAGGCCGCCAGGCAGTGCTCCTGGCCAGTGAGCTGCTGGCTAGTCGCGCACCGTCCTGCAGAGTGTGGGCTTCACATCAGTGAGAACGGGGGCCCAGTGGGGCGCCGTGGCAGGGAGTGGGAGCGAGTTGAGTTCGCCTGGCCTCCAGGGGTGTGTCTGCTTCCCGCTGCCCTGTGCTCTCCGCCCTGCTAGGAAGTTGTGGCTGCGCTTGTGACCCACGTCTGCAGCGGCTCTGGCCCCGAAGTAGACACCGCCTTGGACGTCCTCCTAGACCTGGTGATTCTCGACCTGGCTGCTATGAGGCAGAATGCTGTCTTTGTGAAGGTATCTCGGCCCTCCACAGACAGATCGAAGTTCTTCTTTTGTCTGAGACCACGGATCCCTGGGCCACTGCTCTTGTTTACACTCCTTACCGATTGAGCACTGCAGTTGGTGGGAGGAGGGGCTGGGCAGGAGCTGAGGTGATGGGCAATGGAAAATACAGCTCCTCTTCTAGAGACTAGCTCACTCAGCAAACCCTCTGTACAGCTAGCGAGCACCACACTCGAGTCTGGCTGTTGTGGCACCAAAGCAGCACTCGCCTTTGGTGCCGACAGTAAGACAATGGAAGTCACCAGGTGCCCTGACGAAGTCGAGTAGGGACAAGGCGCTGTAGCCGCCCCAGCGCCCGGGCCACTCCCTTAGCTTGGCAAGCTGGGACGACGTGAGAGGATATGAGGCGAGTCGGTCTGGAAAGGAGGGGATGCCCGACCGCGGAAGGAGGGCGTGCCTGGCGGTAGAGGGCGGTGGGGTGGAAGCAGGTGGCTCGGGTCGCAGTGTGTCTGAGAGGACAGCTACGGGGCGTGCCTGCCGGGGATAGAGGTGCGGGGTGGTGGGCGGGGGGACCCGGGCCCGGGCACGCTCAGACCCTGGCTGCCGCGCTGAGTGCTCCCACTCCGCCGGCGGTCAGGGCTGCTCGTGTCTGGCTTTGGAAGCCCGTGCAGAGGCTCTGCCACACCAGATCAGACATGAGAGAGCTGGGTAGAAAGTAAGTTCCTTCGTGACCCCTCCACGTCAGGACGAGTCAGGAATTCGTGGCCATATGCTCAGAAGGCATCGTGGTGCGAGGCGGCCAGAGAGGACTTTTAGGCAGAATATTGTTCCCACTACAAGTGTGGAGGCTGGAGGCAAAGCCCGGGAGAAGCAGAAGGTGGCTGCGGTGGCCAGCGTGAGACGAAGTGCAGGCTTGCCGGTTTAGCGCAGAGAGGACAAGCCGGACTTGTGGTCTCTGGTAGTCAGAGGGCTTAGAAACTGCTAGAACCTCTTGGTCTAGATTCGCTGGGGTCCAGAGAATTGGTCCTTTGGGCTCTGAGACACCTTTAGAGAACTTGAGTTTCTGTGGAGCGTTTCTGCCTGTTGATTTAGTCTCTCCCAGCCTTGAGCACTGTCTGTCACCTCTGTCCCTGTGTACCAGGTGGGGGACATAAGCCCCGGGGTGGGGACACCCCCAGGATCACAGCCCACTGGCGCATTTGGGAATGTGCTGGCGCCTGTCTGCACCTCCCGCTGAGTCAAGACAGCCCTGGTCTGCCCACAGACAGCATGCGCACAGGGCCCCTGCACTCCCCTCCCACCTCAGGAACCCTGGTTTGTATGGTGAGCGGCAGGACTGCTCCCCAGGACTTGAGTGTCTGGGTTTAAGGGAAGTAGCTATCTTGTCTCTGACTGTGTCTGGCGTTCTTTCCTCACAGGGTATATTAGATTACATGGATACCTTGTCTCCTCGGCAAATACGAAAGCTCTTCTATATCCTCAGTACGCTGGCTTTTAGCAGACAACGCGAAGCCAGCAGTCACATCCAGGTAAGAGGCAGCATGTTGAGAAAAGAGTGTTTTTGATCTCTTGAAATTTGCTGCACAAAAGCTCTGCAGCCTGTGTAGGAGGAGAGCTGAAGTACAGTGCGCCATGGTCCCAGCGTGGTGGTTCATTTCCTCACCACAGACATTTATGTACCTGCTCTGTGCCAGGACTGAGGTGGAAAGTGTATCACCCCTTCCACCCTTGGGGAACTTAAAATGCTAAAGCCTGTGGGGGTTGAGAAATGCGTCTATAATAATTTAACTATGAATGTTAAGAAAACCCGTTCCAGTTCTTGCCTTTTGCTGTGGAGACACAATTTCCTCTCCTGAGGAAAACCTGAATCTAATGCTCGTGGACACCATTCGTTGGTGGAGTAAGGAGCGGAGACTCGGTGGCGACACCCTGTTCGAGCCGCCCTGAGGCTTTCAACAAGCAGCACCCTGTGTAGCCTTTAAAAACCGCTGAGCCGCAGTGCGCCTGCACAGATCAGGCTGTGGAGCGCGGTGGGCAGTACACTCGCTCCCTCACGGCCGTCTGGGTGCTGCTTTCCCTGTGTGTGGTTTGACTTTCTAGGCGTTGTGGACATTCACAAATCTGTCTTTATCTGTGTTCTCTTTCCCCTTTCGTCCTGAATCGTGTCTGTTTCGCAGTGTATTTCCAATGTTGCTGCATGTCAGAAATAAGGAGCTACTTTGTTCTTTTATTTTTGAGTTGTGATAAAATATACAGAACAAATTCTGTTGTTTCAACAGTATTTTGACCATGTCTGGTTGTATACTTCAGGGGCACTAGCGCCTCCCAGCCCCGTCACCGTGGCCACCATCTGTATTCAGGGACTGACCTTTCGGCAGCAAACGTCCTGCCCACTAAGCGGCAACTCTGTTTCCCTCGCTCCAGCTGCTGGTGACCTCTAAACTGCCTGTTCTGGGTAGACATCTCCGGGAAACGGCTGCTTGCCCTTTCCTGCTGCTGACCCGGTTCCACGTCCCAGTGCCCTCACCCCCGCCCCCCCCCCCCGGAGTGGGCACGGGATTGTTTCCACCCCGGGGTGGCAAATACTGCGCTCACCGCTGAAGCTGAACCTGTCGGAGTCCCCTTTTTCAGTTCTTAGGGCTCACACCTAGGCGTAGGAGTGCTGGATCCCCGGTCTACACCAGTTCAGGCCCCCGGGCACTGTCAAGAGGCGCCATGCTTTGCATTTTTGGGTGTGAGCATCCTGCCCGGTGCCCAGCATATGCTGGAGTCTCTTTGTGGGCCTGATTCTGTTTCCCTCCCAACCAGAACTGATCCGTCATTTCTTTGCCTTCTTGGGAAAGCGTCCGCTGCGCCCTTTGCGCAGTCTGTATCGTGTTGTCCTGTGGCACTGTGGGGCACCCTGCATACACGTGTCACCCCCATAGCAGGCCTGGGACGTGCAGCGGAGTCTTCTGTCCCGTGCTGTCTTTTGACTGTCCATCCTGCCCTTGGGCCATGGAGGAGATTGGTCTTGACGAGGCCTGCTTTCCCGAGCTGCGCTTTCGGTGGTGTCCTGAGGGAAGCCCATTGCAAACCCGAGGTCGTGAATATTTTCCTCTGGTTTCGTCCAAGAATTTTATAGTCGTGGCTCGTAACTGTAGGTCACTGAGCCACTTAAAGACAGTTGACATATGTGGTGTAAGGTAAAGCTGCAGCCTCATCCTTTGCATGCTAGTGTTCATTTTTTAAGTTTTCATCCACTTCTTATAGGAAACTTTCTTTTTTCTATTGAATTGTCTTGCTTGGTCCCTTTATCGAAAATCAGTTCACCAGTCTCCCCTGCTGGCGCAGGGGTTAAAGTCTCAGCGCTGCCCAGCTACCGCAGCCGCTGCGGCCTGAGTTTGATCCCCAGGGAGAGCTGACCCACGTGGCGCAGCTCCCACTCTGGTGAATCCTCTCATCCTCCCCTACCACCCTGACCTCTGGCCTGTACCCCAGCTCCCATATGCATAAATTTTAAAAATCTTTAAAAAATCAGTTCACTGTTACCTGAGGGCTTACCTGGGCTTATCTAGCCTTGGCTGATACATGCTTTGAAACATTGTTCTGCTTGCTTTAACTGGGAATTTCGAAATTGGAAAGTGTCAAAATTTGTTCTTTTCCAAGATTGTTTTGATTGTTTAAGATACCTTTAAATTCTACACGAATTTTAGAATAGGTTTTTCTATTTTTTGTAAAAACTGCCTTTAGGATTTTCAGGACTGAATATGTGTCATTTTTAGTAGTATCATTCACTTAACAGTGTTCCAGCCTTCCAGTTTGTGAGCGTAGGCTATCTTTCCACGAATTTAGGGCTCTGGTGTCTCTTAGTAGTGTTGGAGTCATTTAATGTCGACGTCTTTTGTGTTCTGATGAAGATTACTTGTACATATTTAGTGTATTTGCTATGTAGCAAATCACATTAAGATCATTCACAATTCCTTGTGGAGCAACCATTTATGTAACAAAGACTGCCATGAGTGCTTCTCTCCCGTGACCGGGACACAGGGAGCTTTCCATTATTTGTTTCTCATCCTACAGAACCTCCCCCATCTAAAAGATGAGAAAAAGACTCACAGAGATGAGATGAATTGCTTAACCCCACTCGGTAAATGGTAGAGCCCTTGCGAGTCTAGAGCTTGGCCTCGGCGTCCCTGGCCGTGGCTGTGCTGTTCAGTACCTTCATCCCCCGGCCCCTGCAGGATGACTTGCACCTGGTGATTCGCAAGCAGCTCGCTAGCACTGTCTTCAAGTACAAGCTCATTGGCATCATTGGCGCTCTCGCCATGGCTGGCATCATGGCGGCAGACAGGTACACATGGTGGTCACGACAGGCACAGGCGGCAGGCCGTCAGGTTGCTGCCTCCCAAGTTAGCAGGGGCACGTTGTAAAGACATCATGGTCACGCAGGGTATTTGGGCGTGAGAGGCCAGCACACGCCTGATGCTCCTTGGCAGCATCCCCATCTCAACTCTGGCGCTTAACCTTGCTCACAGACTTGTGCTTGTGTTCAGCCTGATGGTAAAAACTGGACTTGCCCGGAGGTAAAGTTCTAGAAATGCTTCCATAGAAGGCAAACCCTGCGCTTCCCGAGATGCCTCTTCCTATCTCGCTGCCTGTCCAAGACACGAGACAACAAAGCTTTCTCTGTATTAGTCCTGTCTGCGGCATCATGTTGGGTGCAGATAAAATCTTCCTTGTGGATTTTGCCCTCTTGCATTTTGATGCCATAATTGCGGCCTCAGTGTAACCACATTTTGGCCGTGATTAGATGCCGTGGAAAATAACGTCAGGGTTCAGCCCCTGCTCCCGGGAAGAGACTGGGAATCGCACACTCAGGAGAGCCATGCGAGTGAGCGCCTGTCACCCGGAGGCGGCCTGTGCACTGGTGGGGGCTGGTGCTCGGGGGGGGCTGACCCTCTGCGCTGGCCGAAGGGCCGGGGGCGAGTTGCTGAACTCCCTTGGCTTTTCCACACTCACACTTGGGACTCGGGGTGGTAGCTGTGCGCCCGGGAGCATGAGCGGTGAGAAGGGTGCAGTGCTTACGTGTCCCCTAGTTTATCACAAAGACCTCTCTGAGGTCGCTGGCTTTGGCTCTAATTCACATTTTGTGTGGCCTAATAGTCGTACCGATACCTTGGTGCACTTTTAGCTCTGCCCTCATTCCATGAAAGTTATATTGCTAAAAATGGTTATAAGCTGTCATAACAATGAAGCTGAAATTCCTTTTTTTAGAAGCAGGTTTTTCAGTTTGACCCCAGGGAGCGCAGACCTGAGCAATGAAGAGTGCACACAGGTGAGATCTTGTGAAGAGTCGGGAACATCTGTGAGTAACTAGGGCTTTGGCTCTGGTCACTATCTTTTTTCCTCAGAGAGAGCACTTTTTTCCTAAATATGTCTTCTTGAACGCGTAGCTTTGTGATGTGACCACTCTAGCACTTAGAACCTGCTGGCGTGGATTGCAGTTCTTCATCTTTCTAACTGTCAATCGCTCGAGTGTAAGGAAGGTGGGTTACGTTTAAAGAATAGCAGCTACTTCAGAGACAGAAGGCAGGGCCTTAGAAACGAAGCAGGCTAGATTGACCTGACTCTCGTGGGAGGTAGTGTTGAAGACTTCCTCGGCCTAGGACGGCGTGGGCCAACATGCACGTGTCTGGTGGTTTGGGAAGGCAGAGACTGAGGCAGGCCGACCAGGGTCCTTGGAAAACCTCCAGTTGGTGGTGGTAAACTGGAGACGGAGAAGCGTAACGCCGAATGGGTGAGTGATGTTCGGGCTGATCCGGCCCGAGAGCCAAGCCGTTCTTTCTCCCTGCTGTTCCAGGTGACTTCCCTGCTGCAGTTGGTTCATTCCTGCAGCGAGCAGTCTCCTGAGACCTCTGCACTTTATTACGACGAGTTTGCCAACCTGATCCAGGGAGGAAGGCTGGCGCCCAAGGCCCTGGTGCGTGTCGCTTTGCAGAGCAGTGCAGCCACTGCTTGCCGTTGGCAGCGAGAGCTGCATCATCCCGGGACCTCCCAGTGTTCCCTTGGGCCACGCAGCCTGCCCTGGGCCCAAGCCTCTTGTGGGCCCCCTTCAGAGAGCGCTGACAGGGTGTGAGGCTGTGTGGGATGCCACCCCGTTCCGTGCCAGACTCTGCTAAGCGTTTTGCACACGAGCTGCCTTTCCCAGCCCACAGTACTGCCGGCGTTATGGCGCCTGTTAGAAAGAGGAGGCCGAGGCTCAGGAAGGCAGTGCTTTCTCCGGGCTCTACAGAGGTCGCTCTAGGCCACTCAGCCGTGTTGGTTATTCACGTCCTGTAGGAATGGATTGGACAGACCATCGTCACTGGTTTCCAAGATGCCTTTGTGGTGGACCTCTGTGTTGTTCCAGAAGGGTGCGTACTACTTACCCTTGATTCTGCTGGTGAAGAAATTGTCAGTAGGCATGTGAGTGCCCTTGACGTCTGCCAGGCCTGGCGCACTCCCACAGCTACTTTCATCCTGTTGTTCTTTCACCAATACCCAGCACTCCCAGTTCCAGAATCACTGAAAGGCTCCTCAAAATGTTCTGTTCCTTACTTTTCTTAAAACGGAGAGACTGGCTTGTACTGGTGGCCTCCCTCCTCCTCTGGCTTACGTGCCTTTGAGTTGGGGCCTTGTTAGCTCTGCGTTCCCTCACAGTGACTGCCCGTTCCCGGTGAAGGCCCTCTATGGACTAGAAGAGGACAGCAGTCAGGATGGAATCGCCATCAACCTCCTGCCACTCCTGTTTGCTCAGGACTTTGTGAAGGATGAGGGTGGCGCTTCACGGGACACAGACCACAAGTCAGTACACTTTCTCCTTTCTGAGAACTCTCCTGGGGTTAGTGTTCGTAGGGGACCGTGTGGTTCCTGCGATGGGAACACGCTGGGCTTGGAAGCGTGCATTCCGGACGGGTAGTGTCTGCAGGGGGCGGGGGGCAGTGTCCTTCATTTCTCTTGGACTCCGTGGTCTGGATTTGGGTTATGTAAAGACAGCAGACACTCTGTACTTTCTAGTTCTCTGCCTGCCTGTGGACATATTGTCTGCCTCTCTCTGTCCACGCCGTCCGCACCTCATCTTTGCTTCTAACGTGTCGGTATTCTCCTCGCTGTCTGCCTCCCTCCAGAGTTCATTGCTTATCAAGCGTCCTTGTCAAATGTTCTTAAAAGGGCCACATTTATGTTGAAGGAAAACTCCTGTAGTGTAACATTGGGTTCCCAGTACATGTGTACTTAATAAGCCTGTAAAATACAATCTAGAATGAGTTTTTCCTTCCCAGGTTGGTGTCTCCATTGTGCCTGGCTCCCTATTTCCGGTTACTGAGACTGTGTGTACAAAGACAACATGGTGGAAACTTGGAGGAGATCGATGGCTTATTGGGTGAGGCAGGAAGTCCCCAGGTCCAGGCCAGTGCACATCATAGGGGGGGAGAAATTTCTAGCTGCACAGGAGAGTATAGCAATAATATGAAATTCCAAAGATAAAATAACACGTACAGATTGCCGTTGTGTTTTATCAGCTTTATAGTTCTATGTTGTTTTTTAATCCTTTCTCCATAATTGTTGTAAGACTTCTTAATTATATTTGTTCACTGCTGCATAATACTCATGCATTTTTGATCTGCGGATCAAAGCTCGACTTCCCAAATCCAAGCTAAAGGTGAAAGTCGGTGGAAGCAGTGCTAGCTCCGGGGTGGCATCCAGGTTGTAGCGACCAGAACCAAACACGAGTCAGAAATGCTTTGCTTCTCTCCCAGACTGTCCTGTATTCCTCACTGACTTGGAACCGGGACAGAACCTGGAGTCCATGTCCGCTAAAGAACGTTCGTTCATGTGTTCACTCATATTTCTTACACTCAACTGGTTCCGAGAGGTAAGTGAACGCTCTACGTTTTGCCTGTAGTTCCACTGGAGAGGCAGCAGTGTTCTTGGGCCCCAAGGCACCCCTACCCCGTCCCCCCAAGCACTAACCCCTGTGCTCTGCTCTGGCTGGTTCTGGCCCACCATGCCCCCCTCAAACCTGTCTATGGCCAGACCAGAACACGTAAGCTCGTGTAATGGGGCCTTGCTTCACTGTCCCGTTGCGCTCTTCTGCCCGGATCCATCTCCGCTTCTCCGCTGTGGGAACGCCGTCCTGCTCACACAGGCGTGTGCGTTTGCCGTTTCATTCCGTGAGCTCAAGTGAACGAGAATTTCCCTCCTCCAGAATATGTGTAGCGCTAGTGATGAGGCGTGATGGGGTCCTTCATGTGCCTCTCGCGTCTTTCTCATGCGTATTATTTCCAAGAGTTTGTTCTTGAAATACCTCCTCTTGTGCTCAGGCTGTGGTGTAGGTGGGACAGGCGTCATCCTTCATTTACACGCGGAGTTTCAGACACAGGATTCAGGGTCACTTCAGTGCATCAAGCCCGCACAGTGCGCCGGACGCTGGGCTCATTTTCCGCACATCGAGTCCACAGAACTGCGCTCCTGTTTTTTTTTCTTTTTTTTTTTGAGATTAATTTATTTATGCATACAGAACTGGGGTACAGGCTAGAGGCTGAGGGGTGGCGAGAGGCTTCCCCAGAGACAGAGTGGGGAGCAGAACAGGCAGATCGACGAAGCACACTGCTGAGGGGAGTAGCGGGCGGGTCAGGAGAAGTCTGCCGCGCCCTGTGGTCACCTCCGGGGCAGGCGGGGATCGAACTCATGCGGAAGTGGCTTTAGATTCTCAGTGCTGAGAACTGCACTCCTGTTTTATGGTTGAAGAAATGAAGGTTCAGAGGGGGAAGCCCCTGGCCTGGGGCGCGCGGGGGCGTACGCAGCCACTGTGCTGCTGGCGAGACCCAGCGGTCAGTCTCCCAGCGGTCAGTCTCGGGGCCTTTCTCTACAGCACCTGTTGCTGCACTTTGACGTTGCAACTCAGGTCACAAGTCCTGTCATCCTGGACACCTCTTAGCTCTGGGTGGAGAGCACAAGTGGGTGAGGTGTGCATGGCCCTGTGCTTGCAGGTGGTGAATGCCTTCTGCCGGCAAGCGGCGCCGGAGGTGAAGGGGAAGGTGCTCACGCGGGTAAAGCACATTGTGGAGCTCCGGGATCTCTTGGAGAAGTACCTGGCAGGTGAGCACCGCTGTCCTGCATGGTAGTCGCTCAGACAGCAGGGAGCAGCTGGCGAACTTTAGTTTTTGCCAGGCTCAGTACTTCGAGACACAGAAACTAAAAGGCAAACCTTGGTTGGGCTTTTGCAAAGTTCTTTGCTTCTTCAGAGCTGAGGCTCCCAGTGCACAGCCCAGCAGTAAAAGGCTTCTTCATACCTTCTGATCGTTTGAACTCGTGGCTTTAAGGTGCAAGCGGATTCTCTGGGGATACACAGAGCTCCGTCACAGCCTCATCTAACAGTTGTGTGTGAAATACTGCAATGGGACTAGATAGTATCACCATCTTCAGATTTTTTTAAAAAAATTATTTATTTATGCATATAGACCAGTGTTGAGAGAGCGAGAGGAGTCCCCAGAGACAGACTGGGGAGCAGAACAGGCAGATGGACAAAATCCACGGCTGAGGGGAGCAGTGGGCGGGTCAGGAGAGGTCTGCTGCGCCCTGTGGGTCAACTCCCTGGCCGGGAATTGAACTCATGCTGCAGTGGCTGCAGATAGCTTCACAGTGCTGCGCTTTAACCTGTTGTGCCACCAGGGAGGGTCCGTCTCCTGATTTTAAATGTGGGTTGGTTTATTTTTAGTTTGCGTCTATCTACTTGGGTATTTTACATGCTTAAGTTTAAATGGTTTTGTGTTGATTAATCATAGTAAGTTACTATGACACTGATGCCATGATATTCCTGCAAGTTCTTTCTGGGCACTCTGCTGTGCCTGAGCCATGAACGCCAGATCATTTGACTGGGTCTTGCATGCATTCAGCCACGCTTGGTATTTGTGGAAACTCCTTGCTAGCGAGGGTGATTGCACTCCAACCCAAGTGGTCAACTTTGAGCTTTGCCTACTTCCTGTTTCAGTCACCCCGGACTATGTTCCTCCTCTTGCAAACTTCGATTTGGATACTTTAGATGGAATGCCTCAGACCCGTAGTGCTTTCTCAGTAAAACTCGGAAGACCGGGGAAAGTAGGTAAGTGTGTTCTGCTCTGTTTCTGATGGTCCCGTGGAATCAACTGCGAAGTCACTTGCATTAAGGAATCAGTAATCGCTCCAGTAACTGGAGAGTCCGTCTGTGATGTGGTTCTACTGAAATTTATTTTGAAGTTATGTAGTTACCTGCCTTACCTTTAGGTAGTGTTCAGAAGGTAGTGATATTTGCCAAGCACGAGTCACTTTCTCTCTTTCAACCGAAAGGAGGAAGAAAACGAAAAGTGGATGGCAGCAAAACATCTTCCTCTGACACAGTTTCGAAGGAAGACGGCCTGCCATGTGACCCTGCACATACTGACAGAAACCCGCTGGCCAAGGTAGGAGGCACTCGCACCCACCGACCCTGTGACAGCCCCGTGAGAGTCCCAGACGGCCAGCATTTTCAGAGAAACAGTAGTGACAAGAGGCAGACACACTGTCTAGCCTGGAGTGCCCCTCTGGTGGCTCACTTGGTGGGACGCCAAGGTCTGCCCACTGCCACTCTCTTTCTGGGATGTTTTACTCCCCATTTGCCAACCAGGCAGTACCTTGAATTCTCTTATAGTGGTTACCAGATTCTGTCTTAGTTTGTAGTGACAGGTGTACTTCTTTGAGCTCCTCTCCCCAAGCAGTCCCAGATTACCAACTTTTGTATGTACCAAGAGGCCAGAATGCTTAGTGCAGTGTCTGTTAATTCATTGGCTAGTTCCCTTTTAACTGCCACTCAGGGTCGGTTTGAGTGATTATGAACTGATGTGACTTCAGCTACTATTAAGTATGTGTTGCGTAGGCCTCCTCCACACCTCTAACAGCCAAGGTTAGTTTAATACCCAGTTAGACACTGAGGAAACAAAAGACCTGCCAGTGTAGATGATCCTCCCCCAGGCCGCCGGAATAGTGCTCGAGCGAGGGTCTGAGCCAGCCCGCCGCAGGCCTTGCTGTCTAGTATCCACCCTGGGCAGTAGGCACCCAGGGTCTCGGTGTGTGACCAGTGGGCATATCTTGATGTTGGGGTTCAGTCCCGTACTACCTCAGTAAAGCCAGCGATAGGAGATTTTTGGCTCACATCACATGTGGAAGTCATGCGTGCCCTTTACCATTAGGTGTGCAGTGACTGTCGGAAGAAAGTTCACAAGCCGTCATTAAATGTTGCATGGACGCCGTGTGAACACGGGCTGTTGGAAAGTGGCGCGGTGGCTGCAGGGGTTGCCGAGCTTCAGTTTGTTTTAAAAACCAAACTGTCTCTGCAGCGCTCAGTGATGTGTGAGGCAGCCTCTGTATCCCAGCTCCGGTGAGCAGCTCTGGTGTGCAGGGACTTAAGTGAAAGGGAAGAGTGAAGTGGTGAAATTGTAACTTTTGCATAAAAGGAATGCATTGTTGCACTTCAGCATCTTCCTTACAGTTAGATTTTAAGTTAGAGGCCTCACTGGTGAGGAGGTTATAGTTAGCACTATCAAGCTCTCGCCACCCACTGCTGACCCACCAGCCCTTGCCTGCTGCTCCCTCAGCAGTGGATTTCAATGGATCCGCCTACGATGCTCCCACTCTGCTGTGGTGAACAGACACAGCATGCACGCACACCTCTGGCCACAGCCCAGCTCCTGTATAGGTAAAAAAATCTTTTTTTTAAAGTTAGATTAAGTTAGTGCACACTTTGCAGCACGTTGACTGAAGTTGGGTGATGCAGGGATTAGCTTGGCTCTCACGTGAGGGCAGCGTGCAGATCCCGAAGCACTGAAAAAGTGGGTGACTTTTTATTCGGTTGGTTGCCGCTGCTTTCTCCCCAGGACCGCAAAGGGAAAGAGGACAAGACCACAGCATTGCCGCAGAGTTTCCAGGGCTGGTTTCGGGAGCTGGACATCGAGGTCTTCTCCATCCTGCACTGTGGGCTCGTGACCAAGTTTATCGCGAATACTGAAATGCACCCTGAGGTAAGTGGCACAGGGGAGAGTATCACAGGGCTTGATCTTCTTTCTAAAAGTTCCTCAACGCTCTTTTGTTCAAAAAGAAAGCGATGATGTTGAGACAAACCAGACTGGGGCTTCCAAAGCCTGTTTGTGAAAGTAATGGGGAACGATCACCCCCCTCCTTGCTAGTGTACGTCTGCGTTTGCAGTTCAGTGACCTTGTTTGTGGTCACGCTAGTGAAGTGGCCCTCCCTCATGTGCACACAGCAAGCTGTGCAGGTGACTTCTGCGGAATAGCGCTGTTCTCCTCGTGCAGGTCAATGCTGCTTTCACTTTTTCGTCATTGCTCATCATTCATTAGCTACTTACTGAGGCCTGTTTTGTTTGCCATTCAGTAGTACATACAGCATGATATTGCCTTCAAATGACCCAAATCTAATAAGCAGACGTCACTAGCCGTGTGCTGTGTCAGCATGCGAGGCAGGTGTCAGTGAAACTGAGACTGGAGTGGATTTTTTTTTTTTTTTTTTTTTTAAGATTTATTTATTCACTCAGAGCTGGCGTATAGGCCAGAGGTGCAGGGGCGGTGAGAGGATTCACGAGAGACAGAGTGGGGAGCAGAACAGGCAGATCGACGAAGTCCACTGCTGAGGGGAGCAGCGGGGAGACAGAATCCTGCTGCACCATGTCGGTCACCTCCGGGGCTGGGGATCGAACTTGCACTGAAGCAGCTGCGTCCAGCTTGCAGTGCTGCATCCTAACCCGTTGCCTCACTAGGGAGATCCAAGAGTATTTATTCTGAAGTTGGACGTAAAGGACATTTGTACCAAAAAAAGTAACTTTTTTACAGAATTTAACCAGAGTTAGAAAAACTATTAGGAAAAGTAATAAATTAGTAGGGGAAAAAGTAATAGCATGGATTTTTATCGATTTTTACAAGAACAGAAGCTTCAGAATAAAGACAGTATTTTCCCCTGATGTTTCTACATCAGCCTAGACTCAGATTTCCATAGATGTATGTTGAGTAATCACTGTAAAGTGAGACTGTATTTGGCCCATCCTGCTTCTGACAGCGTGGATTGTGATAGTCACCTGCCCAGAACATTGGAGGAAAGAAAATGTAGAGGGGGGCCCTCCCTGGTGGTGCAGGGGTTAAAGCGCAGCACCGTGAAGCTGGCGCAGCCGCCGCAGCACAAGTCCAATCCCCGGCCAGGGAGTGGCCCACGTGGCGCGGCAGACCGCTCCTGTCCTGCCCGCCGCTCCCTCAGCAGTGGACTTCACTAGATACGCCTTTGTCTCTGGGGAGCCCTTTCAACCTTGTGCCCAGTTATTCCACGCAAAAGTAAATAAATAAAATATTTTTTCTTTCTTTTTTCTTTTTAATATAATAGTTTGTTTTTACATTTTGTATATTTTTCCATTTCAGTTGTCATCCCCGTGGGTTTCCCATCACCAGATCACCCTTGTGCCATCGCCATAGTCCAGTCCATTTCCCTCCCCCCCTTATTTTTGATCCCCTTTCCCACTCCACCCCTGTAAAATGTCTCTGGTATATAGCTGTTCATTATTATTGTTAAATAAATAAAATATTTCTTTAAAAATCAGATGGGGCCCACCCTGGTGGCACAGCCGGTTAAAGTGCAGCACCATGAAGCTGGCCGCAGCCACTTCAGTGCATATTCGATCTTCGCCCCGGAGGTGACCCACAGGGCCTCTCCTGACCCGCCTGCTGCTCCCTTAGCAGTGTACTTCGTCGATCTGCCTGTTCTGCTCCCCACTCTGTCTCTGGTGAATCTGCTCAATGCCCCTGCATATCTGGCCTGTACCCCAGTTTTGTATGCAAATATAAATAAATCCTTAAAAATGAAATCAGATAGGAGAAGATTTTCCTTTTCTTTGCTAAGGTCAGGTTCTCTGCCCATTGGGAAGTGCACACGTGAACTCTGCCCTTCAAAAACTTGATTAAGACATCCTAGCAGTTGCTCCTTCCTTCCTCCTTGTGACAGGACACTGAAGTTGTGCATCTTCAACCCTCGGAGCTGCTTTTCTTGCTGGAAGACCTGTCCCAGAAACTAGAGAATACGCTGACACCTCCTCTTGCCCAGAGATTCCCCTTCCTCAAGGTTAGTGTGGCAGAAGCACGGTACCTCGGCTTAATGGACTTAAGCAGGACCTGGCAGGTTAGTCGTCAGTTTCCTCGATACCATGGCTGAGTTGTTCACAGCAGTCCTTTGTCAGATCTCATTCCCCTTGCTTTTGAAAGGAACTCGGAAACAAAAGTAAAACGCACCGAAAACCGGAAGTGTATTTCTAAGTGCCCTGAATGTTCCTGAGTCCTGTTCTTTGTCTCACGTGGGTCTTAGCCGTCTGCCCCTTAAGCTGGGTGGCCCTGCCTCAATGTGGTAACTGACTGGCTGAACACAGGCCTCGCCCGTGTTCCAGGTGTGGGTGTGCGTAGCCTTTGCTAACGCAGGTTCATGATGCAAACAGCAGAATGTGGTGGTCTCAAGTGTAAGCTTACCAGAGTGTAGCCAGTTTATAGACTCTTTCTCATGGTGCCATTTGCTCTGGATTCTTCCAGCCTACCCAGGGTCTTTCAGGGTGAGAGCTTTACCTTAAGCGTCACGGGTCTTCACTGCTCGGGCAGTCTCTGGCCATACTCTACCAAAGCCATCTTTGGTTACTTTGAAGGTGGATCAAGATGTGTTTTGTGTATCCACCAGGATTCAGTCTTAGGCAAGCAAGTCATTTCTGTCTGCCCCTGCCTGGTGACCGCAGCTTGACTAAATTCCACGAGGCACGCCTCACCTCCGCGCAGTCACCAGCCGTTTCCTCCTCAGTAAGCCAGAATTTGTCACAGGGTAAAGGAAGCCGGAGCATTGGCTTCTCGCATCTCCAGCAGCGGTCTGCCCGGGACATCGCTCACAGCGTCGTGCAGCTGCTGGCTCCGATGTGTAGCCACCTGGAGAACGTTCACAACTACTTCCAGGTCAGACACACTCATTGTGGTAGAGGCTTAGATGCCACAAGTGAGCAACCAACAGAAACACGGCAGGGGTGTGCGGGCCCTCGGGGCCCTGCCCTGAGGCATATTCTCCTCCAGTGCTTAGCCGCCGAGAGCCACGGTGTGGTGGACGGGCCAGAAACAGAAATGGAAGAGTACAGGACCATGTCTTCGTGCTACCAGAGGCTGCTGCAGCTCTTCCACGGGCTTTGTGCTTGGTGAGTGTTGGGCGAGGACGCCCTTCCTGACTTGGCCTCCCCGCGCCCTGGGGGTTCGGTTCGGAGAGGCCCTGCTGGAGGCTTCTGCGCACGGCTTACTCTCTGGAGTCTCTGTCCGCCTTCTCTGGCTTCATCTCCCCTCCGTGTGCGCTCACGCTGCCTTACCTGTGCCTGCTGGTGGGCTCGCGACAGTGTGGCCCTTTGCTTTGTACGCAGCTCGCTTCTTTTCACAGCGAGACCTCTTAATAGCACCAGGGAGACTGTTGCTTTCAAAGTCACAAGTTGCAGATAATCCCAGACTGAGCGCAATGTAGACTCGGATGTTGGGGCGATCCCTGTGGCAGCCGCGGGGCTTCACCTGGCTCCGGACGGTGCCTGCCCCTTAGGGGTTGGAGCGGTGCGGGAGGCGCAGCGAGGCCGGAAGCAGAAAGGGGAGAGGCGCGTCCCTCGGAAGCTTTTGCCCCCCAGAGCTGGGCCCCACTCCGGGCTTTCATGGCTTTCCTGGACTCGCACCAGCCTCAGGTTGGCACAGACTGTGTCCTGGCCACAGGCACTGCTGCCCACCTGCTCGACCCCCCAGGCACCACGTACGCACATACATGTGTGCGGTTCTCACTGCTGCCCCTCAGCTCTGCTGGCCTGGGTAAGGGCGGGCAAGGGCGGGCTTGCTCTGTATCTGTGCTCACCTCCCTCTCCACCCCGCGGCCAGACGCGCTGACTTCTAAAGCATGCCTGGAAGTTGTTGTCTTCCAGGTAATAAAGCTTCCCACTTTCCTTCCTTTGCCTCTCTCCAGGCCAGAGTGGCTGCATCTTGGCCTGTCGCCTCCTGTTGCCTTTCAGTCCCTCCCCTAAGCAGGGACTTTCCTTACACTAGATGAATCTTCTGTCTTGACTTTAGTTGCCAGCTGCCTTTAGATTTTCTTATACTAACTTTTTTTTTTTAGTTATATTTAAAGAACAGGTGTATTAGGGAAAAGGACAGTGGAGTAAAGGATCTTGTACAGGCACGAGCGGGCAGGGACAGGTTTGCTGAGAAACCTGCCTGGTTGCGGCAGGCGGCCTAGGGGAGCGGCCTCCACGGGTCGGGGGTGCAGAGAAGCCCCGGCAGGTGCAGGTCACCGGCAGGCAGGAGGCCGCTGCCCTGCGGAGGGACAGAGCTGGCGGAAAAGAGGCCCTGCCTAGGCACAGGTGGGCAGAAGACTGCTGCCAGATTTTTTAATATAAATGCTTAAGTAGTGTCTTGAGCTTTTATTACCTGGTTACATTTAGTTCATGCATCGCCCTGCACTTTGCCTGCCAGCCACGTAGAGTTACTCTCAGTGCTGTCTAGCTTCCCCCTGAAGGCTTCTCACACACTCTTCCTGCCACTGGACTCCTTACCCCATGATCCACAGTCTTCTTGAACTCATCCTTGAGGTCTGGACTGAAGCTCCACCTCCTGGGAGGCATCTCCAGCCCCGAGGCCACATAGCATCCTGCTACCCTGTCCCCCATTTCTCTCCTAACTCCCATGCTAGAAACTGGTATTTTAGTTTACTTTTTCATCTGTCTTTCCCGGCAAACTGTGTGTACTTCACTGTCTGAAGACAGAAACAGTCGTTGTGTCTTCAGTACTCAAACACTGCTTGACCAACATCCTGAATAGTGTCACAGAAATGTAAGTCAGAATCACAGCATGTAGAGTGAAAAGGGTTACCTTGCGAGCGTCGGCAGAGTTGTGGGGTGTGCTGCTGGAGGGCCTGGATCGTTGAAACAGGATGGCAGTTCCCTTGAAAGGTGGCCATACTCCTCCCGTAGAGCCTAGCACCCACTCCTAGGTGCTCGCCCAGGAGGAAGGACAGCTTATGCCCACACGTCCTGTGAGCAGGTGTTTCTAGCAGCTTTATTTGCAACAGCCCCAAAATGCAAGCTCCCAAATGTCTGCCAGCCAGTTACTGGATGACAAAGTTTGCTCTGTCCATAGAGTGGAACATTCCCGAGCCAACATGGGTTAGAAAAGGTCCTGAGTAAAAAGCAAGACCATGAGAGTATATAATATTTTATTCCACTTATATCAAATGCTAAAAATTAACAGATACTCTGGGAGGCCTGTTAGGCCCTCGAGGAAACTCACGTGGGCTGCTTCTCCTAGTCTGGTGTTCAGAGCTGTGGCCACTGGGCACTTGAGGACTTCAGCACTTGAGTCCTCTCTTGACTTGCTGGTCATACATGCTCAAGGCCTTCAGGTGCTGCCCGAGTGCTCTGCCTGCAGCTAAACTTTGCTGATGTGCCCTTAGGAATGGATTTTGCCTGCCTGAAAATCAGAATTTGCTCTACTCCGCCCTCGAGGTCTTTACTAATCGACTGAAGCAGGTGGAGCCTGACCAGCCCTTGGAAGAACTGCTCAGGTGGGTCAGACAGACCACTCGCCTCGGTCACCCCTGGGGCAGCGTGCGCCAGGTCTCGTGCAGACAACTCGAGTGTCTCTCAGTGGCTGTGAAGAATGATCGTTTTCAACTCCTTTTTCTCAGATAGATGAGCTTTCTCGTAAAATCCTGAAGCATTAGAAACCGTGGGCTAATCATACCAAGTCATCATGCAGCCACCAGCCTGCGAAGTTTGACTTTTCGGGGTTGAAGAAAGCTCTGACCAGCTCCAGGCAACTCATGACTGTTTGGGGTTCTGCTTGGTCTCTGGTGGGGCTGCGTCACAGGAGACGCTGGTTGCACCCCCACCCCCTTGGAAGAAGAGGGGTCTTGGCGTGGCTCCCAGCCTCCTCCCTCAGCTCATTCGGAGGAAGGGGGGCTTTCTCCCACCTCCCTGAGAGCCCAGCCCCCTCCGTGTCGGTGCCTGTCGCCTCTCCAGCAGGGCAGGGCCATTGAACTGGTTTGACTTCTCCCTGTCGGTCAGTCAAGAGTTAACTCTCGTTTTGCTTTGGTACAATTTTGGACATACTGTGATGCCCCCTCACAGGTACGCGTGGCCTGGACTGGTCTTTGGGTTTCTTGGCTGGTTCATGACACCTTCCGGTCCCGCCTAGACCTGGCTTCCGTTCTGCCTGGCCTTTGTCCATATAAAGTCATAGTTCTCTGATGAGCCTCAAAGAACTGTGCTCTAAAGTGCTGAAAATTCAACCATCAGTCTTTTTTTTGGACAGTTAATACAAGGTTTCTTTACAAGGAAAGTGAAAAGAGGAGGCGCACAAAGAGGGGACTGTGGAGCCCTTCCGTGAGCTTAGTTCATGGATTTGGACACTTCTGTAATGTTTGTGTTGCTTTGATTTCTGTCTCCTTACAGCCAGAGCTTCCACTACTTACAGAACTTCTGTCACAGCGTCCCTACTTTCCAGTGTGCCCTGTATCTTATCAGGCTTCTGATGGCCATTCTGGAGAAATCCACAGCTCCTGCTCAGAACAAGGAAAAAATTGGTGATTGGCTTAGAACCTCCGATTTATTTTCTTCATGAATATGATTAAAACTGAAGCTTACAGACTAGGCACTTTCGTATTTTACAAGCAAATATCCGTGTGACTGGATGTCTGAAGTGACATTTCCCTGGAAGGAGCTATGACTGGTCTGTGCTGCTATTATTCCTTAGTCTGGCTTCACTTAGCTCGGTTGACTAGATAATTCTCTGTTTGGTTTATGTTTATTCATGGCCTTCCTTTTTTTTTTAATTAGATGAGCCATTTGATAAAAGGCATAAAAATGAGGAAAAAGGGAGAAAGCAGAACTGTATACAAAGAAAGGCTCAATCCTGTCCCTCATCTTTCTGTGACCTGCTCTTGTCATTGTTCTTGGAGTGCAGCTCACTGGCCGCACATCCAAATTGGCAGCACAAGCAGGAAGCAAGACAGAAATGCGAAACAGGCCTGTTATTCCTGTGGACTAGAAGGAGAGGGCTTGGGGCCCTCCCTGGTGGCGCAGTGGGTTAGGACGCAGCACTGCAAGCTGGCCGCAGCCACCTCGTGCGAGTTCGATCCCCACCCCGGAGGTGACCACAGGGCGCGGCAGACCCCTCCTGTCTCCCTGCTGCTCCCCTCAGCAATGTATTTTGTCAGTCTGCCTGTTCTGCTCCCCGCTCTGTCTCTGGTGAATCTGCTCACCGCCCCTGCACCTCTGGCCTCGACCCCAATTCCGGATGCACAAAAAAAAGGGGGGTGGGGAGGGCTTGGTCTGAGTCTGCGTGGATGGCCACTGCTTACTGGCATGTCCAGTAGGAACAGAGTCCGCTTACGGCGTTCTTCTCTGTGTGTGTGTGTGTGTGTCAAGTGTGCTCATGTTCATGTGTTTCAGGACAGGATGGGGGGAGGTGTTGGGTCTCAGACAAATGGATGCATTCCTGGAACAGGAACTCGTGATGCTGATTTAAAGTTAAACCAGGGATTTTGGGCATAATTTTAAAAGAATAATCCTTATGCTCAGTAGTCTTCCCCAAAGCCTGAAAGGCTGAGATTTCATTTTCCATGCATGAGATGTCTTTGTTTTGTTTCTCAACCAGCGTCCTTGGCCCGACAGTTCCTTTGCCGAGTGTGGCCAGGTGGCGAGGAGAACCGCACTGCCCTCAATGACCAGCTCCATGCTTTGCTCTGGTGAGATGCTTGGGCTTCTTCCTGTGAGACAGCCTCCTGTTTTGGCACAGCTGGTCCCTCCTCTGGTCAGACTGAGAAATAGCCTTGCTTAGTGGTGAAGTAGGTTAAAGATTAACAGAAGTGGGGCTCCCTGGTAGTGCGAGGGGTGAGTCAGCACTGTGAGGCTGTCTGTAGCCACTGCAGCCTGAGTTCGATCCCCGGCCGAGGGACCCACAGGGCGCAGCAGACCTCTCCTGTCTGCCTATTGCCCACTGTATCATGTGAGTCTGCTCACCCCTGCACCTCTGGCCTACACCCCAGCTCTTATGTGCATAATTAAATAAAAACAAATCTTAAAAATAATTTAACAGACATTGTAGTCTATAGATTGTAGTTCTCGTTTATACGGTCAACTAATTTCTTGTTAGTCATAGAGGAAGGAGAGGAGTCTGGCTTTGTCTTTCTTACCTTGATAGTCAGTGAGTCGGATACTGTCTCCTCCACACACCCTTCACTTCTAGGATGTCCAAGTGTTGTTTTGAATTGAGACATCATTGTCTTTACCTCCAGACATAAAAGCTTAATATCTGGTGGTAACTCAGGAAAGGAATCTCGCTTCCGCGCTCTGGAGCAGAAGCTCACATGCCTGTGGTTCTCCACGCAGCATCTACCTGGAGCACACGGACAGCGTCCTGAAGGCCATAGAGGAGATTGCGGGCGTCGGTGTCCCGGAACTGATCAACTCTTCTAAAGATGCCTCTTCTGCCACATTCCCTACGCTGACCAGGTGAAGCACCTCTCGCCTCTTGCTCTTTGCCGAGGTGCGATCACGCTGACCGGCTGATTCCCAAAGGACTGTCTCCCTTCTCTAGTTAGCTACAGGCGGGCTTGACCCCCAGGGGACTCAGCCAGTTCCGGTGACCATCAGCCAGTAAACTTCTCTGGTCACTGCTTTCTTCCTGTCAGCTTGAGGCGTCTTTCTGGTACCTTAACCACCTGCAAAAGAAAAGGCCGACTTTGTCTATCGCGCGCTCCCTTAATGGGTTTTGTGCCTCGTAATGTTGGCCTGCACAGTTTGTAATGTATTCCGAGGCTCCTTTGACGCGTGCTGTGACCCTAATGCGCAAAGGGAGGTCTTGGCGGATGACCCCAGCGCGCAAAGGGAGGGCTAGAGGGGTGTGGGCCCAAGAGTGGCCGCCATCTTTGCCCCAGCAGCCCTGCTGCCCTCACACCGCCCGCCGCCTCCACTCTGGTGGCCGTGTGCCCACTGGGTTGGACTCACTCTGAGTCCTTCCCAGGCCCCAAGCTCCCACAGTGGACCCTGGGGAGAGCACTTGCGGGAAGGCGGGGAGGGCCGTGGCTTTGGCCTGTCCCCAGGAGGCCTGACCAGCGTGCGTGCCGCCCTCCTAGGAACACCTTTGTCGTCTTCTTCCGCGTGATGATGGCGCAGCTGGAGAAGACTGTGAAAGACCTGCAGCCTGGCGCGGCCACAGACCCGCAGCACGTGGGTCTAGGTTTTCTCCCAAGCTTTTCCTCGATCTGCCAGCTCAGGATTGCCTTATGCTTTCATTTCCTCCCTCGCGTTGGAGGTGGGCTCAGGTCC